AACTCCCAACTAAGGAGAAGTAGAACATGTGAATGTTCATACATGAGAACAGGTGAAGGAAGCAGGGTTCTATGTTCATATATGAGAACATGTGAAGGAAGCAGGGTTCTATGTCCATACATAAGAATGGGTGAAGGAAGCAGGGTTCCTGTTACTCTTAGCCATAAGGTTACCCCACCATTTATGTAGTCGAAAAGAATAGGACAGCAGGGAGGATATTTAGTGAACATGAATAAGTTCATTGCAGGGGAGCTATGGGAATTTTGAGAGAACACTGGGGAGATCTGAGATGGGACGCAATAAAGGCAAGGCAGCATTGCAGATTCCTTAAATTCTGAGATCTATGTATTATAGATCAGTATGGGTGAAGGACCACCACCTCAAAGTTATCTGGGTGATGTGAACTTGCTGGAAGACCTCAGGGACCCCAGGCAAGTCAATTTTGAAAACAGGAAGATATTAAGAGAAAAAGAAACATAGAAACAATTGTTATTTTGAGATGAACAAACTCTATAGAGTAGCTGTTATTACAGATAAGCACTAATATTCCAGAGTCTTCACCCAATATGGTTTGTTTCTTTTTACTACAGTCCAACACATTTGGGAAAGGACATTATCTACTGTACACAGCCACTCAGGAACTATGGTCTCCATCTGTCTAATGATGCTTCCATCTTTGGAGATCTTAGGAATTCTAGCATGGGTCCTTCAAGGATGATCACATTAACCATTCAGAAGATCAATCTGAGAGTCAGTGATTTAGTCTGCATCCATTCACACTGCATTCTGGGTCTTGGCATTTAGCAAGATGTCCTAAAGAAAGCAATGGGCTTGGTGAAGCAACAGCCTCTGCTCCCAAGTGGCTACAAAGTATTCTTCAGTACAGATCTTGGTAAGCATGCCAACTGCCTAAGAAAGCCAAGGACAGGAAATGGGACAGTTTATTTCACTAAGTGATACATGCTAAAAGTAGGACAGATAATTAAAAACAAGAGCATTGCTTAGCAGACAATGATGGAAATCAGTGTTGAGGGAAAACACACACTGCTGAGTCGTTTCCTCCAGAGTCAGCTGAAGGGATGACACAGCCTAATCCAAGAACCCAAAAACCCAAGGACCCAAGGATTCAGTCGTAAAAGCTGAAAGAAAGACTATTCTGGTGATGAAGCAGGAGCAAAGAGGGAAGAAGAAAAATGGCACCAACAGAAAAAGTAACATGCAGATATAGAACCATTAAGACTCTCCAAGATTTCCCTGTCTCTGTTACTCACACTTGAAATGTTCATCTAAATGATTCAAAGTCTTCTGGATGCCCAGGTGTAATTAGTCCAAGGGTTCACATATTTAAATGCTCAAAGAGTTTTAGATATAGACCTGCTCTCAGGGTGCTCAAAAGGTTCTTCAAACCCTTAGAAGAAATTTCATTCCTTAGGTAAGGAGAGCCTTGGACACCTAAGCTGTAGCTGTTACCATAACTGAAGCATAGGATTCTCTCACTGATTCTATCAATAACAACAACAACAATAATAATAAAAATAATAACTAGATAGGAATGATGAAGGATCAGTGTGCCAGGTACTATACTCAGATCCACAAATGTGCAGCAGCCCCATGAGACAGATGCTATTATTATCTATCCTTTCATACAGATAAGAAACTGACAGCCAAAGTAAGCTTCCAAGTGTTGAAGCACAATTCAAACTTAGCTGACATCCAGTTGAGTTTTTAACTACTATCTTCTAGTTTTGATGCCTCTGTAATTCTTCTATGTAGAAACATGGGATGTGGGCTTAAAAAAATTAACACAAAACAATTCACAAACATTGTCTTCTGGTGAACATGAACATTTCTAAATGCTGGGTTCTTTCTATTTTTTCTCTTTGTAATTGTCAAAGTTTATATAGAACAGATTACTGATGGGATTTCCCCTCTGTATTCTATGAATATGTCTTATACCATTGGTTAATAAAGAAGCTGCTTTGACCTATAGCAGGGCAGAATACAGCCTGCTAGAGAGAGAGAGAGAGAGAGAGAGAGAGAGAGAGAGAGAGAGAGCAGAGTCAGAGAGATGCCAAGTAGCTGCCGAAGGAGACAGATGCCAGATCCTTACCAGTAGCCACAGCCTTTGCCAATACACAGATTAATAGAAATGAGTTAGTATAAGATGTAAGAGCTAGTTAATAAGAAGCCTGAGCTAATAGGCCAAGTAGTGTTGTAATTAATAAAGTTTCTGTTTGATTATTCATGTCTGGGTGACCGGGAATAAACAAGTAGTCTCTGCCTACACCTCACTTTACTCTTAGCTTCCTTCTTCCCCCGGTTTCATTATGTTTCCGAGGGCCTCCTGGTTATGTATTCTCCCTTGTGAATAAAGCAATCAGCTTTTCATCCTGGCAGAGGAGAGCGAATGGAAGAGAGAAACAAAATATGCATAGTGGCATTTAAACTTTAAGGAAAGTGACACACTATTTTACATGAAATATCCTTGGAAGAGGTAGGATACTAAGAAGCAAAGAGCAGCCGTCTCATTCTGCACTCTGGGTGATACAAAACACAACAGGTAGGACTGAATGGCTTCTAGGCTACCCAGGTGTGTGATGCTGACCTTGGGAATGGAGGGCTAAAATGTAAGGTTATTTAAAATCAAAATCTGCACTGCTTTTAATGACTTCATCTCCTATATTTGACCAGAACCCATCTCCCCAACATTCCAAAGTCCAGTCGATAACAAGAACAACAGCACTTCATGATTTCAGAAATTAATTGTTAAACTCTCTTGACTTCCTAGCCAAGACACGAGTTGCTTGTTACGTATGAAAATATGACCAGGGCTATTGAAACCTGAAGTTAGTACTTTCAAGGACAACTTGCTTTCTAACAACTTCTATGTGAACTGTCGTAGTTACTATTCTATTGCTGTGGAGAGATACGATGACCAAAAGGCAATTTATAAAACAAAAACATTTATTCAGGGGTTAGCGTTTCAGAGGGTTAGAGTCCATGGCCATCATGGCGGGAACATGGCAGTAGGAACGTGTGCGTGGTGCTAGAGCATTAGCTTAGACTATACAACCATATCCACGAATGCAAGGAAAAGAGGCGGGGGGGGGGGGGGGGGGGGGCGGTACTCAGAGACAGAGAGAGGCAGAGAGAACTGGGAATTGCCTGGGTTTCTGAAACCTCAAAGTCCACCCACAATGACACATCTCTTCCAACATGGCTACACCTCCTAATTCTTCTCAAACAGGTCCACCAACTAACCAAGAACACAAAAATATGAGCCTATATAGACCCTTCCTATTCAAGCCACCACTTGAACAATGGCCAATTTTCAGAAATGATTTAAGCAAAAACAACTATACAGACGGCTGATTTAAAATCATCTCTTTCATCAATACTTATTAAGTTTCTGCTTTGATAAATCACTACACTCCAGGGCAATGAGGGTAGGCAGCACAGTCATGAAAACAAAGCCAAAAAGAGCATCAAGTGGAGGCCATGCACCTTGGAAAGATCCGGGGAGACAGTTTAGCAGAGCGAGTCAGACATCGTGCGTCATTCTCCTATGAACCTGGGCCAACCAGGCAGCTTCTTTGAAACACTTGGCTTTTGTTGCTTTTTTTTTTTTCAATACTGTGACACAAGATTTAGTCCGTCTACAAACACTACAGTTTGTTTAAAAACTAACTGGACTTCCCATAAACTTTGACTAGATTGTTGGTGCTGCCTGACCTTGGGATCCATCAGATAATTCGGGAAGACCCTATAGAAGTCTGAGGATGAAATGGTCCACTTAACCTCTCAGTGCAGAGAAGGTGGCCGCTGTGGTCAGTTTCCCTTTGGTTACTACTGACGAAGCCAATCCTGCGTCAGCCAATGGGAGGAAAGTCCAGAACTCAGCTGTGTAGTAGGCAGCCTAAACACACGTTCAGTTAGGCAGGTAAATGGAAACAGGTTTGTAATGAAAGGAAACGGGCTCTGAGTGTGTACCAGCTGCCCAAAGGGCAGAAGGGGGTACGGTGTATAGAAACATTGGCTGGAGTGTAAGGTAGCATTAAGACAGGAACCAGAAATCCTAAGAACTCTTCCATAACGAAGTCTGGAAAAATGTTAGCCTAGAAATTTCATTTATGAAGGTCATCTTGTAGCACCCAGTATGTTTAGCACGTTCATTCTCTGAGTTTCTATCCTCAAGGATTAACAGACACCTCCTCCGCAACCCCACCCCCACCCCAAACCAAACCAAACCAAACAAAATTCCTTAGTTCTAGAATTGTGAAGCAATTTCGGGCACCAGTAACAACTAGCAGCATTTGAGATTCAATCCTTTCATGTGAAATGGGAGGTTAAAGTCACAGGCCTTCAGGCAAGGGGGCAGCTAAGGCTCAAACATTCTGGTAGCCTTTGACTCCTACGGGGGCTCTCCTTTTAAATTCAGGCGCCGGCGCTGGGTCAGCACTTTCGCTTGGCTCAAAGGACAGGCGCTGAGCGCCATTCTGCAATTCCTAAGGCGTCTGTGACTGACAGGAACAGAAGCGACTCCGCGACAGTCAGGAGCCAAACAAGACTCCGAAGTCCCATCAAAGCCCCAAGTGTTAGCCTCAAAGACGCGGTTCCAGGTTCCCAGCCACTCGCAGTGCCTGAATCATGCAGAGTTGATTTTTTTTTCTCCTCCACCCCCAAACTCAGCATTCCTTCTGAAATCTGTCCCCTTGGAATACAGAACACGAACGCGGGCGGACTGTGTTCTCAGTTGCCAGGGACTCAGTTGCAAAGGAGCAGCTGGGTGCACAAACCACGCCCCTGGTGCGCTCCCCCACGGTGCTAACACCTACGCTCTCAAGGCAGTGAGATTGGGGAACGCGGGGGCTGGGAAGGGCGGAACATAAAGGAAACCCGCCCCTGATCCCACCCTCAGCAGAGATTGGCAGGGCTCGGGCGCTCGCCCCGGCCAATGGGCGCGTTCCGGGGCGGGCCTGGAAAACGGCTGTTCAGGCGATTTAAGAGTCGTCGGCGCGGCTGTGGAAAGCCGAGTGGAGCCAGGACTTGCCAGGTGGATCAGACGCCAAAGCCAGCGTAGCCACGGAGCGCACCCGCACCGCTCTGGGCACCTCACCGCACTGCTTGCCTCCGGGTAGATCTGAACCGCAATCCCACGCGCCTCCAGGACCCACTCGCCACTGCCGCCTCCACAGCACCCATGGGGACCTGGAGACTTTAAAAGGAGTTTGGGGTTTCGGGAGCAGGGAAATCACGGGTACGGATAAGCCGCTTTCTTTGCCTTAAAAAATGGTTTTTCTTCGTCCGATTGTGTGGATCGTGCGCTGGGGTAGGAAAGAGAAGGGCTCTTTGGGTTGAAAGCAGACCTCTTTTACACACACACACACACACACACACACACACACACTCCGCACTAATACTCACCACCGGTTTCTCCTTGCTTCCCCCATCTCTTTGTTAGGTTATTTTAGACAGAGCTGCCTCGCCCTGGCGCAGTCCGATTGACTCTGCTAGCGAGAAGGCGAGCAAGGAAAGGGCAGAGTGTACCTGCCTGCGTGGGCAGGTGTGTCCCGGTGCTTGAGTGTCTGTGCATTGGCAAGTGTGCAGGCGTACGTCCGGAATTGTATAGGAATGGGGGGGGGGGGAGGCTGACAATGTGTGGTCGCCAAGATGTGTCATTGTGGGTGTATGACATTAACACTGTGGGTGTATGTACCAGGCTGTCAGTGTCTGGACTCCAAGTGTGCAAAATGTTGCTGATGTCAAGTGAATGCTTTTAGCGAGTCTGTCATTGTGCAAGTCGCTGTCAGGGATGGGGTGTGACCCAGCGCAAAACGGGCAGGTGGGCTGCACAGGTTGGCAACCACGATGTGAGCTCAGCTTGCTCTAGCTTTGGGTCTTAGGGCTTCACTTGACACCCACCTTTCCGTCTGGGTGTCCATCTCCCACCTTGCCAGAATCTGCGCTCTCTTCGCCCACTTGAACCCCGCATGTTCTCTAGCCCGCCTGTGATTTCTCCTGTGGAAGTTACAGGGCAGGGTTCCCGGGCAGGTCGGAGGCTGGTTGAGAGGTATGGTGTCTGCTCTGGCCCTCCAGACTGGCGGCTTCTTCTGTGTCCCCTTTCCTACCCCAGGGAGGACCTGCAAAGTTGACAGGCGCAGGCGACTTTGGTGCCGGTGCTTAGCCAAGCTGCAGGCCCCTGGGAAACTGAACAACCTGGGAAGGGGACACCAGGAGGGTCATCCCGAACTCTGATGGTGTCTGTCCTCTCTCCCTTGCTAGATCTTAGTTCCTGGCCCTGGCCTCGCCGCGTCATTGATGGGCAACCAACTGGACCGCATCACCCACCTCAACTACAGCGAGTTGCCCACTGGGGACCCATCTGGGATTGAGAAGGACGAGCTACGGGTCGGGGTTGCCTACTTTTTCTCGGATGAGGAGGAGGACCTGGACGAACGCGGGCAGCCGGACAAGTTTGGTGTGAAGGGCCCCCCAGGTTGCAGCCCCTGCCCAGAGAGCCCCAGCCGCCACCACCACCACCTGCTGCACCAACTCGTCCTCAACGAGACTCAGTTTTCAGCCTTCCGGGGCCAGGAATGCATCTTTTCCAAAGTAACCGGCGGCCCTCAGGGCGCCGACTTGAGTGTCTACGCGGTCACCGCACTGCCCGCCATCTGCGAGCCCGGCGACCTGCTGGAGCTGCTGTGGTTACAGCCCGCGTCCGAGCAGCCAGCTCCAGCCCCACACTGGGCCGTCTACGTGGGCGGCGGGCAGATCATCCACCTGCACCAAGGCGAGATCCGCCAGGACAGCCTGTACCAGGCGGGCGCGGCCAACGTGGGCCGGGTAGTGAATAGCTGGTACCGCTACCGCCCGCTGGTGGCCGAGCTGGTGGTGCAGAACGCCTGCGGCCACCTGGGCCTCAAGAGCGAGGAGATCTGCTGGACGAACTCCGAGAGCTTCGCTGCCTGGTGCCGCTTTGGAAAGCGCGAGTTCAAGGCTGGCGGGGAGGTCCCGGCAGGCACGCCACCTCCGCAGCAGCAGTATTATCTCAAGGTGCATCTGGAGGAGAACAAAGTCCACACGGCCCGCTTCCACAGCCTGGAGGACCTCATCCGCGAGAAGCGCCGCATAGACGCCAGTGGCCGTCTGCGAGTGCTGCAGGAGCTTGAGGACTTTGTGGACGACAAGGAGTAGCCCAGAGCAGCAGCCTTCCGCGCTTTTTCTCACGTCCGGAGCTCCTTTCCTGTCCCCGCAGCTCTGCACCCCACGCCCCCTAGCTTGCCAGTCCAGGGCCAGCCGCTGGAAGCTTCAGGAACTCACAACGGCACTGGGCGGGCACAGCTATGCTCCCCTAAGACAGCCCTTGCTGTTGGTGACCATGCCGGGGTGACCCAGCCTGCGCCTTTCCCCTGGGTTGTGACGGGGAAACGGGGAAAGGACAAAGGGGAGCAAGGACACGACCCTTCCCGGGAGCCAATGGTCAGTGATCTTTCACCAGACAGGGCAAATACCCTTTAGTCACAGGGGACCGTCACCCCCCAGATGCGCACACACAGACCAGTTGGAGGTGAGAATTGTTCTTTTGGGGGCTCAATTGAACTCCCGAGGGGATGTGTCCCCGGATCTCAGAAACCGAGCCTGTCCTGTGTACTCGGGAGCATTTCTGAGACTCCAGGTTACCCTGAGGCTGCCAGGAACTGTTTTGCAGCTCTCCAGCCCAAGGTCTCCTGACAATGCATTCCAGACTCTGGACTGAGCTAGATTGGTTTGGCTTCCCTGTTTGCACAGCTGGAAGCAGACGCCAGCTCCCGGACTGACCAACCCTTGACTGAAGGGAAGCCTTCTAGGTCCCTCTTAGAGGGAGGAGGGCCTGCCCGCTCCGGAAAAGGAGCTAATTCACCTGGTGTGTGGTCTCTTGAATGTAAAAAGGAGGAGGCTTTTTTGCTCGGAACCCCTTGATTGCTTCCCTCCTTGCTCCGAGTTTCAGAGAATCTGGTTTTCCAAGGGACTGGAGGAGAAGGCAGGGAGAATCTACAACATTCCAGAAACCAGCATTAGGACAGCCTAGCCAGTGTCTTTAGTTTGGCTTTTTCTAACTAGAAGATCTTAGAAGGCAGGGGGGAGGTGGAGGTTGTTTTTAAAACTGGAACAGCAGTTTTCCAACGTTGTCAACAAAGCCTACAGTGTCGATGCTTCTCTTGATCATATTTAGCAACCTGCTAATGAAATTTCAAATTGAAATTTTTATTTTCATGGCTTTAATCCATGATAGCTTAAATACTGGGGGCCATTAGGAGTGGAATTAAGCTAAGAGTTTAGCTGACATTGCCTTCACTCTGGTTTTTCTCAACTCTTATGAGAATTCTGTTTGGGGATATTATATTTACTTTTTTTCCCCCTGACTTTTTGGAGTTGCCCTGTGATGGTGGAGCTGTTCATTCGTGTGTATATTGTACTGAATTTTTGTCAGTTCAAGGGTCTGCTGCTTTGGTGATTGCTAGCAAGTTCCATGAGGGTTCTTTTCTTCATGTTGTATATCATCATCATCATCATCATGAACTTCCTCATTTCATCTTTGCACCTCACCTCTTGGTCCCCTTCAAAAGGAATCAAGAGTTGGTGAGCTTTGGGACCGCCCCTGTAGCCTGTCCTGCTGTTTATTCCTGAGAAGAGGGAGGCGCTCTTAGAACCAGGACAGAATGTGTGTCGTTCCAAACACAGTTATGTGAAGCTCCTTCCTTTGGGCAAGTGTTGTGGATTTTTCTCCAAGGTCGACAGCCTAACTGGTCGTTACTTGATTCCATGTGCTAGACACACCTGAGAACATATACAGTCTCCTGAGAGAGTTTGTCAAATCACGGTGTTTAGCTAATGGTTGTGAGCAATTGCATAGTAGTGACAGATGTGTCTCAATTGAACAGCAAATACTACGTCCAAAGCCAGTTCCTTGGCGTTTGAAAACAATGCAATAAAAACTAGTGGAAGTTAGCAGACAGGGAAATGCCTTTCCCATGCTAAAGGGTTTGTTTCTGTTTTGTGGGGATTTTTTTTTTTTTGTTGCTTTCTTTTGTTTCGTTTTGTTTTCATGTGGGATTCATCCTCTGATCTTGAGTCCAAAAGGTCAAATCAATGAAATATGAACTAAAGTATTTTTCTGAAGCCAACGGAGTGATTTATTTTTTAAAACTGTGTATGCTTTTCCTTTCAGCACATCCAACAGCAAAACTTCGTAACAACTAAACTTAACCTTTGCATGTATGGAGAACTGAAAGTCATTTCTTTCTCTAACTTAGTCTTTTGGCAAATGACAGATCGGTGTCCATAAACCGAAATTCTTTATTGTGTCTCCACACGCCATATCCTTTCCTGTGTCCTCCTACTGTATCTTGGCTCCTGCTGAATTAAACACCATCCTAAGCACTTGTTCCCTTGGGACTCCTTCTTGACATTGTGTCTTCCACCTGTAAGTGAGTGGGCAAAAGAAGCGCATTGGTCTCTATCAGGTCCCAAACTGAATTACTCCTTTTATGAAACGTATGCCATGCCAAGAGGGGACTGGTTCATCAGCTTCATACGAGCTGAAATTTGATGACAATGAAAACGAAAGCAAGACAGAAATACCATTTATGGTTAGATTGATTTACCAAGGACTTAGTGGATGATAATAGTTTTTCAAATTCACAATAAGAAAACAACAATCAAAAATTTTAAAGGGAGTTTTATGGTTTCTCATGTTCCTATGGAAATGATTGCTATCTCTTGGTGATTGTTAGCACAAACCTTTCAGAGTACATTTTAGAGAGAATCTTATCTAATTGCTTGATCAGGAAAAGGGGTTTCTATTTTATTTATTTATTTATGTTTGGTTTTTGGTTTTTCATGACTGGGTTTCTCTGTAGCTTTGGAGCCTGTCCTGGAACTCACTCTATAGACCAGGCAGCCATGAACTCACAGAGATCTGTCTGCTTCTGCCTTTCAAGTGCTAGGATTAAAGGTGTGCGCCACCACTGCCTAGCTAAGGGATTTCTATTTTAAAGCATTATTGAGGCTGCTGTCGCTAGATCCGCAAAAGTTGAAGATCCTTTTGTAGCTGTCACTTGAGTTTTATTATGGGCGAATACTGTTTTCTCTAGAATGTACTAGTTGCAGGAATCAAGCCATGAGTCTCCTACCATTTGCAAAAGGACAATAATGTTTTAGTTTTAGGACAATTTAGTTTTTGTTGTCCCATGATGCGGAGGGGGTGAAGCTGTGTTCTGTCCAACCCTCACCAAAGCAGAGGCCACCTCTACCTTTTCTCCCCTGCAAAGGGGCATATCTCCAAAGCAAACTACTATCAGAAAACAGAAATTTAAAATGCAGATGTTTCTCAGAGAGCTTTACTGCATTAAAAAGCAAGCAAACAACAGATGTGAAAGGTACAGTGGGCATACTTTTGAAAAATAAAGCTCTCGAATGCCATTACTCTTAAAGTATACTCTTTTGTTTGAAAAAGAAATCCTGTAGAAGTTGTGTGTGCTAAATTAAAAAGAAAAAATCAGCTGTACCAATGAGCTAAATTGGTAGGTATAAAATGTCCTTCAGTATTTAACATTTAAATGACCTTTATGACCACATGTTAGTAAAAGAATTACATATGCTAATCTGCATTTAGAAAATATAATAGTTTGTCAGACACAGAAGCAAGTTTTAAGTCCATTGATATTACATGATATTTTAAGTTCATGTTTCTTTTTCAATATCGTGTTTCTTTGATGAACACTTTTGAATGAATAATGGCATTTTTCAGAAATGTATTTTTTGATATTTACAAAATGACGAATTTCCTGAGACCTCAGTTTATTTATCCTCATGCTCTTCCAGCATCCCCTGATGACTGTTTCTCTTCTGTTTTCAGCATCTCTAAGAATTAAAAGGGTCAAGTCACCTAACACAGAGAGTAAAGTAAAAATGAAGGAAAATCAATAGTACCTAACACAGCAATAGAAGGCCCCTAATTTTCTCTTCTCCGCATGCCTGTTTTTAAAGCTCCTTGCTGGTTTTTTGCTTTATTTTATGTTTGCTATTGGTGTTGAAGTGGAATTTGGGCCCTTTGCATGATGGAGCTGTGGCCCATCATGTCTTTTCTTACAACAGATGAAGATACTGGCTTGTGTTTGCTTTTGAGAGATGATTTGCCGCATGCAGGAAAGACTACTGATGAAAAGTGCAGACTTCCCTGCTCCTTGAAATGTTAAGAGCTTCTGTTGGAGAATATTTCACCTAAGACCCTGTCAGTTCATTTTCTTTAATAGTTAAAGTTTTAACTATTAGAGAAATACACATATGTGACTGTTCATAATGATATTCATGTACATTTCCATATATAGATTTCTGCCAATAGCTAAACATTTTGTCACACACACACACACACACACACACACACACACACACACACGGTGGATGGAGGGACACACACACAAGCCCTAAGATTTTTTTCTTTAAAGACTAGAATGAAAAGTAGCATAAAATTTATAAAAACAGAAGGCAGAATGTCCAGAGGTTAAGTGTTAACATATTTCATGCTTACTTGAGCAGCAAAGAGCTGTGGCTAAACCAAGCACAAACAACAAACTTAAACAGTTAGCTTTTAGTTGTCCCCCGCCCCGGCCACACACACACACACACACACACACACACACACACACACACACTGCCACACACTGCTAATTATCATTTTAATTTTGACTTGTTTGTTGAGACAGGGTCTCACTATGTAACCCTGGCTGGCCTGGAACTTTCAATGTAGATCAGGCTATTGGCTTCAACCTCAGAATGGTCCTCTTGCCTATACCTCTTGAAGGCTGGAATTATGAACAGGTACTGCTATATCCAGCTTAGTTTCACCTTTTTGACTAGAAAAACATAATCAAAAGCAAGATTCAAAGGAAAGCTGAAAAGATCAGGAGGGGGGCAACAGTGGAGGTTATGAAATGTAATGAGTTAATAAGTTTTACAATGGGGAATATCTATTCTCCATTCTAACTGAAGACAACAGAGGAAACCTAAGACCCTATTTTCTTACCTGTCAATAACGTATGAGGGTCTCTCGCTGCATGACTCAAAGTTTGCCTTGGAGGCTGTATGTTACCTCACTGGATGCCACAGTGTAAGTATTTCAAGTGTTTGAATATGTTGGGGGTGGAAAATGGTCTTTTCTGCCCTTGTTAGGAGGGCGAGTTAAGATCCATGCTTTGGGTACAGCACATCCATGGGAGCGGGCTGCCAGCTTCAGGTTTTCACCAGTTTCTCTGGTGTGGATGACAGCAGCTGGCACATAGTAGGCACAACAGGTGTCTTGATTTGATGGTTTTCAGTAACTCTTGATCACTCAGAAATTCAAAGAGCATACCATTTGCCTTAGGTATGGAGGTGGCATAAGCTTCCATTGCTAAAATTGACAAGGACGCCTCTGAGGACTCACAGAACTGCTCCTCAGGAGGCTTGGGCCCGAGGGCTTCATATTCAAGGGTGTCTGGAATATTTAGTTTTGCCTCTAGAAAAATCTAGGGATTCAAAAAATGTAAAAGCTTGTCTCTTGTCATTTGGTCATAAAGATGAAAGCAAACTATTAATTCTGACTCTGGCTTCTCCCACATTTGTCTCTCTCTCTCACCTCAAAGAGGGATTTTTCTTGCACACAATCACAAGATTATTCATTCAGAGGAAGTTATTATTGCAGCTCTTGCTACAGTCATAAGACATAAAAACGTTCTTCATTTGTAGTCAAAGACAGAATGCAGACTTACCTCACTAGGATAATTAGATTTGATGCCATTTGGTCAGGGTTTTTTGTTTTGTTTTTTTAATTAAACATTACTCATTAGTAGACACTAAGATAATTGCTATGCTTGTCAGCTTTTATAATCCATTTACTTTTATATGTTAATGTAAGTTTCAAACTTAGTTTTATCTGAACAGTAGGTATTTATGAAATACTAGGTATGAATAGAGCCAATATCTTAATTTCCAGTTCAAAATAAATGCTCCGAAAGTCAGTGTAAGCCAGGCACACACATATCGTCCAAACCTCTGGATTCTGAGTCAGGAAAAGTGTAAACTTGAGCCAGCCTGATCCACACTTTGAAAGTCCATCAAAACAACAATCCAAGGTTCAAGCAACAATAGTGACATCATATTTGATTCTTTTCTCTCTCTCTCTCTCTCTCTCTCTCTCTCTCTCTCATTCTTACTTTCTTCTTTCTTTTTCTCTATTTATTATTTTTATTGCTTCCAGCAGCAATTGTCTGTGACATCAATTCAGATATTAATATCCTGTACATGTCCCAGAGGGAAACATGAGAGTATTTCATTGTAAGTATACCGATGTTTGTATCAACAAATTTAAGTTATTATCAGTTCAGCTATTTCTCTGCCTCCAACAGCATGCCAGCTTTTCACCAAGTATGAAGCCCACTGTCTTCAGGTTTCAGATGCTCCTAAACAGTGCACACATCTGTGAGAGTCACTGAGGATAATTTTAATAGGCTGCAGTTCCCAATTGCACACTCTGTCTTTTGTTTCCGACTGGTAGCATGTGTCTGGGGTTGCAGGATCTGAGCCCAAAAGAAGCATGGCTCAGGATAGTACTGCAGGACACAGCTCACAGAACTATAGTGTGCTTCCATTAGATCTACATCCCAGATAAATGGCAAACAGTTGTTAGAGAATCTATGCATTATATCTATGATACAGCTAACAGTAGAAGCTATGCTTAGGGAAACTAGATGGTAAGTGATCGCACCGTGCCCGGTCATATTCAGGAGGAAGTGGACTATCTCTAAGGAGTCGCCTTAGTGTAGACCGTGAGGTTCAGAGTTGTCAAACTAAGAGCAGACGTCCTACCCACAGTTCTAGGGCTTTCCCACCTCTTACGTGTCTTTTGGGCCCAAACCGTGTTCATATGCAGGAATGAGCAGAGATTTCAGAGCCCTAGAAAGACTAGTTCACAGGCCCCATAATTACTGAGAGAGTTGCATGTGTCTTTGTGAAAGAGGATTGGCAAAAGGCTTTCAAGCATCCCCACCTACCCTCCTATTACAGGATATGCCATTGAGGGTTTTTTTTTTTTTTTTCTGTGTAAACATTTCCTGAATACAACGAGAAATACTCTACACCAGTTGTTTTAATTACATGTGTTATTTACTCAAGTTGGGTCCCCACCTGATACCCTGTTGTTCCCATGGCTTCCTCACTTGTCTCCCCTCCATGGTTCTTCTGTCTGAACACCTGTGGTCATGGTGATTTTTCCACACACAGTTTTGTTGCTCACAAAATTCATCACCACAGAGGCTAGTAGGACAATCATGATCCTATACATTATGAACCTGTCCCTTTCCAGCTGCATGTCCTACAGCTGTAAAGTTCAAGCCATCTACATT